CTCTCTCTCTCTCTCTCTCTCTCTCTCTCTCTCTCTCTCTCTCTCTCTCTCTCTCTCCTTCGCTGTCTCTCTACCCTGTCTGGTCTTGGGTTGTGGATGCCTCAGGTGGACCTCGGAAGGCTGGCGGTGATGATGGGGAGCGGCGACGCCCACGCCGGTCTTGGAGCCGTACGGGACTGGTCGGATATGCTCTCTCTGGGGGAGCAGCAGCGGTTGGCGTTTGCAAGGCTCTTGTACAACAAGCCCACGCTGGCTATATTGGATGAGTCGACCTCCGCTCTCGTGAGATTGTATTGCCAGCATGAATCGCACTGTTTTATCTTACTTTGAATGGCATTTTGACGCGTGGTGCGACAATGAGGAAATGGCGAAGGTGTTCTATTGTGCAAGAGCTTCCACGGCGAGCCTGTCCTCTCTCTGATCTCGTGTGATCTCTGGGAGTTTACAGTGGGAACAACGTCGCATGTTCTTTCCGTCGAAACCTTTTCATTTCGAGGAGCAGATCTCCTCACAGCGATTCTCAGAACACTGTGAAGGCGTTGCTCCATCACGTTTCCGTTTCCCTTATGCATGAACCCGATACGAAGGCAGCTAGCTTATCGTTCCTGTTGTGGACACGACCCAACTCAATGTTATTGCGCCTCGCGTGCTGCGTTGATCAACATTTCCAGGACCTTGCGAACGAGGAACGAATGTTCGCTCTTCTCGACACCCTTCCTGGACTGTCCGTAGTCAGCGTGGGGCACAGGCCGAGCCTCGTCCCCTTCCACGACACCAAGCTCATCCTTGCCAGCAAGGGATTCAAGCTAGAGAGCACGGGATCGAACAGGAAAAGGGGGCACGGGACAGGTGCCCCCGCCTCTGCTAACGTCGCCGTCGCAGATGGTGCCGATTCTTCAACCTCGGGGATGCGGTAGATTGGAGCGGAGGGGGTTAACAGTTTTTTTTGTGAAACTAGGGCGAAGAACGTATTTTTGATGGAATAGAAGCGTGTCCTGTGGTAGTGCGTCATCATCGCCAAGTACCCCACCACTATGTGTGAGGCAGTTTATCGTGTTGTGTGTTGCGACGGCTAGGCTCAAGAGAAGGTGCACCCCGTCTAGTTACAAACTCACGGTGCTTCTGAAAGGCGAATATCCGGCGTGGATCGAAGTGGATCGAGGTGAGCTTCCAACCCCGCGACTGACTGCCACCCTTGGGATCCCTTGGTGCAAGTGGAGGGGGCCACCAGGGAGTAGGCCCCTACAGCAGTATCACTGCCACTTGTGCGGCGGCAGATCCTTTGATTCAGTAGCTGGTTGGACCCGACGTTGTTGATTGGTGGGTGTGCCAGGCACTGTATAACGTATGCGTTGCTCCTATTTATTCGACGGGATGGAAGTTGAACGCACGGTGAGGTTCACAGGGGCGAGATTACATGGTGCTTGCGGACGAAAAGAGGTGTACAGAATTTTTGGCGTTTGTATTGGTAATGAATCAATTACCTTGAAGGGCAAAGCTACATAATACCTTGGTAGATTCAGGTGCACCTCTCGCCACGAGCGAAGGCATTGTTGCTCTCGGGGACACCCTAGACTACCCAACCTCTCTTGCTCCATTTCTTCAGAATTTCGACTGTGCAGGCGATGAACAGCCACAAAGCACCTCTGACGGCCATTTCGGTAGGTGACCGATGCACTTTGGTACTTGTGTAACCTAGAAATGGTGCTTTCCCCCCCCACAACTTCAAAAGCTCGCACAGTTTTCATGGGTTTGTAACGACGTTGTAACGACGACTGGCGTGACTGCCGACCGTTTCATGGAATAGCACTCGGACCAATCGTCAGCTACAATTTCTGATGCTCCTGTGGAGTATTTTTAGAGTACCAAAGTACACAGCTTCTTGTGTCGGTCTCCCGAAGGGCTATGTAAGAGATAGATATGATGACCCCACTGTGCTGGTCTTGAGCCCACTGGGGGGGCATTCGCGCCCGTGTGCCACAAGGCTCCAAGCCCCACACAGAGTATGTTCCTAAGCGCCATGCAAAGCTATCCCCGGGGTGACGGCAGTCTACATCATCAACTTCTCGATATCGTCCGGTTCGGTCGCTTTGCCCTCCTCAAGCAGCTCGTTGAGTTTTCTCTCCATCATAGCTAGCTTCGCCTGCAATGCCAACAGAAAGAGGGACGGTACGCCATGGGGCACACAGCTTTAATCGTACATTCGACGTCCTTGTTTATGGATCCCCTAAGGGAAATGGCACACATCTCGGGGGGCAACCTACTGAAATGCTTGATATTGGCAGTTGGTCATGCTTCTGAAAATTTCCTTCGTCGCGGAAAGATGGAACTGGCTTGATTGGTTCCAGCTTGCCTGGTCTACTGCAGTTTCTCTTGACTGGAGGCATACCATGTAGCACGCAAAGGTGCGTGGTACCTCGATAAAGAAATACATACCATGCCCTCAGTGGCTATCAGTGCATGCCTTCTACTTTTGACACCCCGCGTACGGGGACTAGTTTATCGCAATGTCTGGCAAGAGGGGCGGGTCTCGATGTTCGTCCACAAGCAGCTGCTCTTCTGTCGATACTTTGGCAGGCAAGTGATGGCACCCGGAATGGTTTGGCGTCATATTGCATAAATGCAGGTTTGGCACGTGCGGCCTGACACTAAACTCTGCAGAGGGTTTCACATGGTTGTTGGAAGCTAATTCTAGCTCTCCATGTACGAGAAAGTATTTGCGGAAGGATCTGAAGATGAGGCATGGCTTCTGGTTATGTGGGCTGTTGTTTTTCCTGAATAATGCTCAGGAAGAGCCTGTCTGGATAACCCTAACTGATGAGAAGAGACGAACCTCCTCCCAGGCAGTTTGACTATGTTTCTCGGCTTCTTTGGTGATGGGACTGCACCCGCTGAACTTCTGACTCACCGCCTTCCGTTTCGCTATCGTTTCCGCCTTCTCGTCCGCCTTGTTGAGTGCTCTTCTCTCTGCGATCTCTCTTCGGACGTTATTCACACGGAACTGCAGCTCCGCCAGGTCGGACACGCCGTACAGCGCCTACCCGATCAACCCCGACGATCGCCGAACGCGCGAATATCCATGAAAGGGGGGACATGCGTGGTTTAGCCCAGTCCAAGCTTCCCGAAGGAACCAAACGGAGAAGAAATGGGGTGGGGGATAGTGCAAGACATACGTTTGTCGAGGCGACGCGCCGCTCCTCAAAATATCTAAACAATGACAGTAATGAAGAACACGCATACCGTTCTTGGGAACGGCCCACCCGTCACGGTACATGCCTGTCTTTCGTCGAGTTTGTCCAGGCGAGCTTGCTCTCTCTCGTACAGAACTAGCTCCAACGCCCCTCGCAAGGACAATCCTCCACCGAACCTGCTTGGAACGTTTGACGGAAAAACTTTGTATCCGAGGTGAAATACGGAAGGTCGTTGCTGTTGAACGAATGCAATCGAGCAAACTGCTCTAGACAGAAAGATTGCAGTCGCAAGCCACATTGAAGAGATAGCTCTGGTCGAAGTCAGGAACTGAGTACGATGGGTCAATGCCCATCATTCCGGCTACCGAGAGCTTGAGGAAACTACGCCGCTGATCTCGCGATCAGCGCCACGGTAGGTGAAACTGTTCAGGAGAAACTCTACCACGCTTTCAGCCCCCATCGAAGGCTCCTCCATTTACGACGCACAGCATTGGGAGGTCCGAGTGGAGTTCGTCGGAGGTGACTGGTCGAAGTGGTTTGCGTACTCGTAATCCAATCAGCCGTGATGCTTGTAACACCTCAGGGTCCCCCTCTTGGGTTGTGCCTGACAGTGCAAGAGACTGGCGCGAATATATCCTTCAGAACACCTGAAGGCATCGGAGACTGTCTGTCTCACCGGCTTTGTGCTGGCCAAGATCGAACGAGCTTTGTCCCGTCCGGCATCGTGAGTGTTCCATGGCCACGAACGAAGCCATCCACCCACCAACCCTCGTACGTCACCTGCGGCCCGTAATCGCACGGCAAGTGACGTGGTGAGGGCCAAACAAATGTGTGTGGGCTGCGCATTTATTGCCCTAAACTTTCCCCTTCGGGTAAAGTGAACGAGAAACCACGCGTGAGTTGTGCTTGATTCCGACCCACGAGTTGGACGATACGGCGAGAAAAGTGTTAGGTGTTGCGGCGAGCAATTCCGAGCCACAAATGCTCGTTGGGTAGCACCAAGCACAGGAAAAATAAGTGATGCATGCAACTGCAGGAAATAAAACCCAAGTGTGATATGCCCATCCAGGACACCCAACCACCTCTTCCGTTCACCTTCAAATTGGCAGACTCGAAACGTCCTCGCCCATGAAACTGCCCCAAGAAGAAATCTCCCTCGTACCTGCTGCCGCTCTGTGGTGGTACATGACACAGACAAGCAACCATTTGTCGCGTCAATCATGGTTGCCCAAGGTTGTAGCTAACGTGACGTAAATACCTTTTGAGTGGTTTGGGTCTCAAAGAAGCGGGAGGGGAAAATACATGCAGGTGAACCAAGGGGTTGACCGACACAAACTGCGGTAGGGAGAGGTTGCTGTATGTTTCCATGCTTAGTTGCTGCATTGTATGCGATGCCGTGCCCTGTCCATAGGCTACAAGACGTTCGCGCACAGCACCCATTGCGCGAGTACAACCCTGAGCTTCCAACCTTCGTTTGCAGCTCTCTGTGTGATTTGACGTTGGTAGCCTCCTCCTTGTTTGACCAGCATTCAAGGGGGCAGCGCCCTGCACGCAAGCGAGTTTCGTGCGAAACTGTACGCCGGTTCATGTTGGGCCTTGTTTCGGAGATTCCTATTGCGGTACAACATAATGTAGCGCTTTGATTTTCAGCGTTTGAGGGACTTTCATGAACACTTTGTCACACCACACGGTACTACAAAGTCCAATCACAATGCCTGATGTGTGTCTTCACCTTGTGCTTCAGCATTCCTTTCCCCGAGCGCTTCCCTTCGTGCCATGTTCCCTCGTATATAGTACCCGTAGGGTAGGTGAAGGCACCGTAGCCCTGACACAGGAGGAGACATTCACTACATCGGGCGAGATAAGAAGTGAAAGTACATCAGCCCGGACCCGGACGAATAACTTCGTTTAGTCAATCCTCGGCGACAGGGCGAGAGTGCTGTCACAATATCAATACCACGGTAGTTGTAGCGGTGTCTCCCATTCAACCAGCACCGCTTCGTATATAGCAAAGGTGGTTTCAGCTGAGTAATCACCACCTCCTTGAGCACTGGGAGTCAGTTCCACTGGACCAACGTGGTTTCATTCGGGCGGAAGTGGGTTGAATTTCGAGTTGTGCATCACGACGTAGAGAAAGAGTGAGAGAGAGGGAGAGGGAGAGAGAGTGAGAGACGGAGAGAAGAAGGGTTTTTATCAATCTTCGTCCTAGCGCTCCTTCAACCGGTCGCTCACGTGACGAACGTTGCCAAGTACAGTTAGTACTGTATTAGGCGGCATGCTGCTGCCCATTCACCTCATGCTTCCCGTCCTTCCACCGCCCAACGTACACGCCACCGTTGGCGTAGCGGGACGTCCCCTCTCCATTGGGCCAGCTGTTCCTCATGACACCCTCGTACGTCGCGCCGTCCGCGAAGCGGTACGTGCCGAAGCCGTTCATGTTTCCGTTCTCCCAGTCTCCGTCGTAGCTGTCAACATACGTGAGGTACTAGAACTGTGAACTGTGACGAAAATTGCAGCGGCTGATTCCAGAGAGCCGTTTCGGAGGGGCAGCGACTCGTTGCCTCTCGGGCGTTAGCAGCATCGACCATGTTTCCTTCCTTCACGTCTTGGGTCCTAGCCGCTGCAGTAAGGACCCACAACTACGAAACGTTTCGTTCGGGAATAGAGACTCATCGCCTCGAAACATATAGGCGGTGAAATCTTGCAATAACTCTACCAAATAATAACCAATGGTCGACGATCTCGACGAAGGGCGAAATTGAGTGTGGGTCCGACGTGACGTCTTCAGCATTTTAGGCCCTCGATTATTTGCGCTTTCCGTCAGACCTGAAGTACTTGTGTCTTCCTTCGCTGTTGAGAATTCGATGCTGCGGAGGGGCCAGCCCGGGTGGTCCGAATAACGTCTTCTTGAACCCAATTCGCCGAATCTTTGCATCCTCCTGCAGGTGTGTGGGGTGAGTTGGGGCCGTGGGAGAAGGACCTTTTTCTCAGCCCGTAAATGAAGTCTAGAACGGCCTTGATCTCGTTAGCGCCAGGCAGCGACTACGCGACACCTAGTTGAGATCCATGCCCCTCAGCACAACGCCCCTACAGGCTACATGATACGGTTCCGAGTACGCAACAAGGCTTGGCAGCGCTGAAGCAACATTATATGCACTGGATCAACGCTGCAGCCGTCCTTCAGATTCTTCCAATCAAAGAGTGCTCCTGCGAACGCATCGCCGCGAAGCCAGTCTCTCCGTACCGTTCGGTGGCCTCTTGATAAGCGTCAGCCCCAACGAGGCGGACGGGCCCGGATTGAGCAGCCCCTGCGATGTTGCCAC